AAAATATATATGAAAAGGCAAAAATAATACTCCTTTTTATTGTTAAAAATAAAAAAATTAACAATAAACTAATGCATGGTATCTAATGGGCTAACCGCTAACCATAAAATAAAAGAGTTGAATGGGTCTGACCTACATGGGATTTGGCCATCAAGTAAAATAAATGAACATCATTGGTTTGCCATTCTAAAACAAGCTATTTTCTCTGGCATAATATATATTATGTTATTATTTTATATCTTAGTGGCTAAAATATAATGTATTTTAAAGTTATTCAATGGTTCAACCTCGACCAACCCAATTAGTCCAATTTTTATCATTTCAAATATATATTTTATAATTATTTGACATCATAATGATCAAATTATAGTGTATTTTATAGGGAATCGTTTGGTATTTGTTAGTAAAAAACTAAACATAAAGATCTGTTTGGTTATTTTAAACATTAAAACGATCCTAAACATTTTCAGTTCCTTTTGAATTTCTATGGTTTTATTCACGAATAAGTGATGTGCAAATAGCAAATTGTAGTCATCTCTTTTCTTTCACTATTTTTTATTTTCAAATAGAAAGTTTAAAAATAAAGAATAATTAGAATTTGGCATGGGTCGGTCAAACATGCTGAATTTCAAGTTTTCGCCCGTTTGTTTTATGCATTGCAAATTTATTAGCATGTTGATGGAAATGGCTTGGAAAAGAGACATATAAGTTGTACCTTTGCAGAAATGTCCTCAAATGTTTAAATGCTTTGTGAATCATGTTCCGTGACTTTTGTGATGGTGTATGTGCTTGACGTTTGCTCGATATTGTAACTACTTATTTGAGAGTAAATCTTTTGATTTTCCCTATGAGTTGTGATACTAGCTCTGGTGGTTGCAGCATGTTGTCGTTGTTGGCCTGTAAAAGTTGTTCCGCCGTGATGCTAAATACCTTTCTTTCTTTATTAACAAATTGTGTAGTAGCGCTATGAAACAGACCACCCATGAACGCTAAGCTTATTATGGTCTGTTCTTACTTCCGGTGGTGAGAAACTGTGAATTGAGAATCATATTTGCCTACCACATTGTGTCTGGCTGGTGGCTGCTTACTGTGCTCTCTAGAGTTATGAAACAGACTACCCATGAACATTACCCTTAAGAGTCCATAACTTTGCGAAAAACCAAATTTAGGCAATCAAAGGTGGTGGATGTGTGATGATTTTTTATGGATTAATTGTTTGTGAATTGGATATCTGATCTTTGTATGATTAGAGGGGATGTTTGCTTAATAGAATAATCCATTTTAATTCATGTTTATTTTTAAAATGAACTTTAGTAACTCAAAACCTTCGAGACACATATCACCTGCTCCATTGTATCATTTTGCCCGGGTGCTTGCTGTGTTGTCAAACTTCTTTGCTGATGCTGCTGCATTTACACTAACAGGGGAGTTAAGAACCCATGAATGTTTCCGTTTGACACAAACAAGAGGACTTACTTCTAAATTGTGCACTAAAGATGATTGGAGGAAACATCCCTGTTGCAGTTGATATACTGGAGACCATAACAAAAGCAACGTATAACATCAAAACCAACCATCTGAACTATTAGCATTGTTGCTTTACTCTTTTTTCGTGGTTGAGTCTCCTTCAAATAATTTAGTTTGATTTTAGAAAATTTTGCTTCTGCAGTCCTGTCTTGCCACCAACGCGTTCAGTAGATGGAGATGGCAGAGGCGAAGGCTATTTTTGTGTTGTTGTTGCTGGTTTAGGGATCGGTTTGTGAAGAGAGGGGGAAAGGGAAATGCAGGAGAGGGGGATAACTCTTTTCTCCGACAAAAATGGAGTGAAGAAAGGAATTATGATCAGTAAGGATATGATTATCTTACATAACGGTCTCTATTCTGTTTGAATTGAGCTTGGGAGGCAGTGATAAGGTCGAGCTGCAACCAATTCATAGTGATAAGAGTTCTATGAACTGTGATCATGTCTTATTTCAAGTTAGAAGGTAGTTTCAGTATAAGGATTATTTAATTTGAAAAGTTGTTTCGTCCATGATTCTTGGTAGTTTCAGTGCCATTCTAGCCATTGTTTAGTCTGTAATTTTTGAGAATTGATGTGCGAGTAATGGCTTTCACTTAGCTTCAACTATTATGCGTGTATTTATTGGCATGTGATAGAATTCTCTTTTCCTTTTCTTTGAATTCAATTTCATACTCTAATTGTATCATTTGTACATAGGCAAATCATGCTTGAGATGACAATTCGCTGATATGGCTGGTGCAAGGAATGAAGCCATCATTAGAATTCAGACCGACAACGGGGAGGGATGCCCAGGACTAATTCAATGATGATTGATGATGGTATAATAAAAACTGCAGTCTGCATCAGCACCAATTCTAGGCCTAAGTAAAGTTATTCAACCCAGAACTCTGCTTAGCGCTAAAAATTGATCATCTTTGACCCACTTCTGAAGAGTCAAGATATATGACTAATCTTCTCCGTTCGTATTTTCTTATTGACTCTTTCTGACCCTTAAGGTTGGGCGGGTCGGGAAGAATCGGATTAGTGGGTCGGTCCTAATCAAGCGGAATCACAATCCCTTCACTCTCACTTGCTTTCTCCCTCATTCCACAAGTGGGTAACATACAGTAATCCGGCCAACGGGCCGGGTAATAAGCTAGTATAAATAGATGATCATAATAGCTGGTTATTGAGAATGAATCTATGTCCTTACTCTTGTACCAATTTCCTGTGTTGCATTTGTATATGTATATATATACGTCCTTCCAATTAAGGGTGGCTATACGGTCCGGTCCGGTTAAATTGGCCCAAATTGATCCGGTCCAGTCCGGTCTTTTTGAAAATATAAGGACCAAAGATTGGATTGGATACAGTCTGGTCTTGATCCGGTCTGGCCTTGACCCAGTCCAGTCCCAATTCGGTCTTGATTTTATATTGAGCTTGTGGGGATTTGAGTGGCCTAAGGCCTGAAAGGGTGAGGAGTTGGTTAAGTTTTGTACTAAGTGCAAAGGTTTGTGACCGTTTATGCAAATTACCCTTAAGTTTTGGGCATTGCTATTCGTCGCCCTAAAATTTCTTATTGGTCGCCCTAACTAATTTATATTTACTTTAATGTCCTTAATGTCCTTAATTTATCTTTCAAACACTTGTTAAACACCTAAAATTCCCTTAAAAAAACATTTTGACGCAGCCAACAAAAATAAAAAATAAAAAGAAACGAAAATCTCTTGTGCAGCGGTGGCGTCTTGTTCCTTTGTCGGCGGCGAGCGGCGAGCGACGAGGGAAAATGAGGACCTTCCTCTCGATTCCAGCGGCGGCCGGCTTGCTTCTTTTTCCTCCTTCCCTCCGATGGTCGAGTAGCAGTAGCGGGAACAGATTCTATTTTATCTAAACAGCAGCAACAGCCCCGAACCCATTTTCAACGAGTAGCCCTAATCTCAAATTAGTAAAAATGAATATATGCTCTGTAGTCAAACATTTGATCTATACGTTGTTTCATCTAATGAAGTTGTCGTCTTTCAGCTGTACTAATTTGCAAGCTTTTCCTCTTTCCCCAAACTTGTCTTCTTGTTTGCCAGAACTACATAGTCCTCCAATGAAACAGCAGCAGCGGAGAAGGGGTTGGAGCTAGGTTTTCGGCGGCGGATGTTGGTTGGGTGGTGACAAAGGGACAATATCTTGTTTGGCGAGGTTTAGAATTGAAATTGGGTTAAGGGGTAAATATGTCAATTTGTTATGTTTTAGGGCGATAAAATTTGAATTTTAGGGCGACGAATAGCGATTCAGTAAGTTTTGGGTGTTTAGCTCTCTTATCCGATCTTTATCCAGTTTTCGATCCGGTCCCAAACGGTTTTTTAACTCAAATCTAAGCCCAAAAATTGGATTGGATTTTTTACTATCCGGTCCCGATCCGGGTTATACGGTCCGATTTCGGGTAAAATAAAAAAAAACCCGGACCAAATAACCCGCCCTACTTCCAATTTAACATGATCTGGCCATTTAAACTATGGGAATCATGATAAGATGATAAAATTAAGACCAACGAAGTCTTTAACGTGTATCCGATTTTTATTTTTCAAATTCAATCATCTAGTCAATCTCGTCATTCTCATATAGATAAAATTACTATAAGTAGACAAAATAATAAGGGATAATACCTTAATTTGACCCGAAGCTTGGCGCAGATGACCGTTTTAGCTCGAACTTTCGAATAATATATTTGTGGCCAATTTTTCAAAAAATGGACAAATTTAGCCCGAAGTATAGATTGATTGTCAATACTAATGGTCAAACATTTTAACAATTAATGATTAGATTGAAAAGTTCGCCTATTATTTTTGTTTAGATTAAAATGTTTGACTATCAAATTGCATTTTCCCTGTATTGTAAGAAGCAGTGATTGGTTTACGTTAGAAAACCTTCTTTTACAAATTTTATTAATATATTCTATAAATGCTTACATGACTATAACGAGAAACAATTGAGAAACAATATTATTTTTGGATGATTAAAAAATTATTATTAGTATAAATAATAATAAAATTACTTATCAAGTAAAATAAAAATAGTAAATTATCTCACATTCTCTATCTTCTCTCAACGTAACTTCCAAATCCAAAGTAAAAGGCAAAGAATCTACGGTTTCAAGGGAGAAAATTTTGTGGTTAGTTATTACGATTAGAAGAGAGATTAAAACTAATAAAAATTGGGTCAAACGTAACAAAAGAACCGGAAGAAAGATTATTAAAAATAAACAAAATTCCCCAAATCGAGAACTGCGTGACGTGGAGCGGAAGTTTCCTCAAACCCTTTTAAATATTTTGAAAAGAAAAATCCTAGTCAATCAATTCACCGATTCAGCCACACTCACCAGAGGCAGCCTCTCAGTCTCCGTACAACAATGGACCTCACCTCCTCCAACTTCCCTTCCATCGCCAACAAAATCCCCCCGTCGGTTTCTTCAATCCTTTCCGGCGCCGCCTCCATCGTCGCCTACACAATGCTAATCCGGTCCGTCGCCCACAGTCTCATCCCCCACGAGGTCCTTCGTCCAGTCCTCTCCTTCGCCTCCCGCTTCCTCTCCTCCCGCTTCTCCAATACCCTAACCCTCGTCGTCGAAGAAAACGGCTTCATCCGCGACGAGCTCTACGACGCAGCCGAGATCTACCTCCGAACCAAAATCGGCCCCGCCGTCGGCCGCCTCAGGATCCGCAAAACCCACAAGCAGAAGGAGTTCACCCTCTCCCTCCTCAACGACGAGGAGATCGTCGACCGCTACGACGGTTTCGATGTTCGATGGAAATACATCTGCGTTCGCAGCAGCAACTGTCCAACCAGGGAGGAGAAATCGTTTCAGCTCACCTTCCCCAAGAAATTGAAGGAGAGAGTGATTGGTTCCTACCTTCCCTACGTCTTGGCCAGAGGGGAAGAAATCAGGGAAGAGAAGAGAGCCGTGAGGATTTACAGCACGGATTGCCCTGATAAGCAAGGCGCATATTGGGGATCTGTGATTCTTCAACACCCAGCGAGCTTCGACACCCTCGCGCTGGATTCCGATTTGAAGAGGATGATAATTGGGGATCTGGAGAAATTCGTGGAGAGGAAGGAGTTCTACAAGAAAGTGGGCCGAGCTTGGAAGCGCGGGTACCTGCTCTACGGCCCGCCCGGAACTGGGAAATCGACCCTGATTGCCGCGATGGCGAATTACCTGAAATTCGACATCTACGATTTGGAGCTCAGCAGCGTGTATTCGAACTCAGATCTGAAAAGGGTTTTGCTATCCACCTCGAATCGTTCGATTCTGGTGATTGAAGACATCGATTGCAGCTCCTCCAAGGTTCACGTTCGGCAGGATGACGGCGGGGACGATGACGGCGGCGGCGGCGGCTACATTGGGTACTACCAAGGTCAGGAATTGGAGCCCAGGCTGACGCTGTCGGGGATCTTGAATTTCATTGACGGGTTGTGGTCGAGCTGCGGGGACGAGAGGATAATTGTGTTCACGACCAATCACAAGGAGCGCCTGGATCCTGCTCTGCTTCGGCCGGGGAGGATGGACGTTCATATCAACTTATCGTATTGCACCCCTGAAGCTTTTGCCATTCTGGCGTCGAACTACCTCAACGTTGACGACGGGAGCCACCGGCTGTACGGTGAGATAGAGGAGTTGATAAGGAGCGTGGATGTGACGCCGGCGGAGGTGACGGAGGAGCTTATAAAGAACGAGGATGTTGATTTGGCTTTTGAAGGGGTTATTGATCTTCTGAGGAAGAGGAAAACAGGGGCAGTGGTTGAAGAGGAAGAAAGTGTACAGCGTCTAAATGGCGAATCCAGTTTTGATAATAAGGATGTGGTGAATTGATACCAATTTGTACTTCAAAATTGATTCTTTGGTTATAAAACTCCATTGGCTGAATGTAATGTCTACTCCTCTTTCGTGGCGATGACCGGGAGACTCATAGTTAGTTTTATATGTGGAAGGATGGGTTGGTGGGCTCAAGATAGGTGAGTAACATTCCGGTGAGTAAGAATGAGTAATCAAATATGGACTTTTCTTTTAAGTGACTGCAGATCTAATAGTGGAGAATTAAATAAATTTATTTTTCCTAGTTTTTTTTTTTTTTGATAATGATGATGAACTTTATTTAAAGAAAATTAACAAAGAGTACAACACAGACCCACGAGCAGTAGGCCAAGAAAAACAGAGGGGCAGCAGCAACAAAAGCTGCAGAACAAGCAGAATTCGAAGGAAATCAAAGAGGAAACAGAGGCGAGAATGAGCCCAGCAGGCGATCACCCATCAATGACCCCCCAACTCCGGAAACGATCCTGAATGAAGCGCGTCCCTTGCTGATCATCAATCTTCTTATGAGCTACCAACCAGTGAACGATGTTCCTGGTGATTTTCCTGATAACAGTGAATGGAGAGCAACAAGTATCATGGAAAACTCTCTGATTTCTTTCTTTCCAGACAAACCAGCAGATCGCGTGGATGGCACATGTTGCGAACCAGAACTCAATGCCTTCGATATTAGGACCATAATGATCAATGATGCTGGCTATGTCTCCTGAAGATAAATCCGGGCAAGTGATGTTTCTGAGCACCTCATCCCACACCCGCCTAGTGTAGGGACACTCCACCAAGATGTGGTTGATCGATTCTTCATTTTTGTAGCAGAGAACACACCGGCTTGCCAGCTGCATTCCTCGTTTCTTCAAGTTGTCTATGGTGAGAATCTTCTTATGCCAAGTGAGCCACAGAAACCCACAAATCTTTGTAGGAATCATGCTTTTCCAAATGGATTTGTACTTGAAATTCTCATTCCCATCAAATTTGCCATCCACAAGAAACCTGTAAAACGATCTTACAGAAAACATACAATCTGCATTCGGATTCACACCATACGACTAGGACTCATGGTGATTCTGTGAGAGTTAGCAATGACTTTTCCTATACAATCCACTCTCTCAATTTCAGCCCCACCCCTTAAAGATACAGAAAATGAAATTTCACACACTAAATCATTACCTGAACGTGAGAAGGAATCAAGCAGGCTAGCATCCGGATGAACAGCAGCAGCAGCAGCACGCGGAAAAGAATTGGCCAGCAGAACGCCCGGGATCCAGACATCGTGCCAAAGGGAAACAGCAGAGCCGGAGCCTGGTTCGATGGAAGCCCCTTGCCAAAACAACTCACCCACCTTACTAATGTTTGCCCAAACCGAACTGCTAAACCCTTCCCTATTCTTTTTAGTTTTCCATTCCGAGACAGTGCTAGCGTATTTCACCCCAATGAGCTGCCTCCACCAACTATCTCTCTCAGTAGCGTATTTCCACAGCCATTTCCCAAGCAAGGCCATATTGAAGCTATCGAGATCCACCACACCCAATCCACCCCTCTGTTTTGATGCTTTGCAAGTATCCCATCTAATGAGATGAAGTTTGCTTTCCTGCTGCCCACCACACCAAAGGAACTTCCTTTGGATCTTTTCCATTATATTCAAGACTGTTTTAGGAGCTTTCAACAGAGAGAAATGGTAGACAGATAAACTATTGAGAATGGATTGGTTCAATACAATCCTGGCCCCCAAAGAAAGGAACTTGCTTCTCCACCCCTGCAGCCGATTATGGTATTTGCTAATGACAGGATTCCAAATGGAGATGGAGTTTGGACGATCACCCAACGGAAGCCCAAGATATTTAGTAGGCTCGCTACTCCAGTTACACCCAAAAATTGCAGCTAGGAAGCTAGGCTCCGGGACATCTCCCACGGTAAACATCATGGATTTATCGAGATTAATTTTAAGCCCCGTGACCGACTGAAAACAAACCAAAGTAGCGAGTAAGTTCAGAACCTGGTCGGCAGAAGCATCGCAGAAGATTAGGGAGTCATCGGCGAAGAGGAGATGTGTAACCTCACCTCGTCCGCTGTTTTCATCCATGAAGAAGCCAGAAATACCATTCACCCCCCGAAGCTTCGAGATCATGAAAGACAGAACATCCATTACCAATACAAATAGCCCAAGGGAGAGAGGATCGCCTTGCCGAACCCCTTTACTAGCCCGAAAGTAGCCATAAGCTTCCCCGTTAACCAGAACAGACGTCATAGGAGAACAGAGATCCCCTTTAATCCATTGCTGCCATTTATTAGGGAAGCCCAACCTCTCCATCACACTGAACATGCATTCCCAACTGACGTTATCGAAGGCCTTCTCTATATCTAGTTTGAAAATTGAACATAAGACCCGGTTTCTTACACTTTCTTCTGCTGTCCACCAATTCGTTAGCGATGAGTGTAGCTTCAGAGATGTGTCTTCCGCGAACCGAGGCATGTTGATTATGTGTGACCAGCTTAGGGAGGACAGAACTCAGCCGCTTCATCAAAACCTTACTCACAAGTTTGTTAAAACTGTTCATCAAACAAATCGGCCTGAGGTCTTTGACAGTTTCCACAGTGTCCACTTTCGGAGTTAGGCAAATAAAAGCATGAGTAATACTATCCGGTAGGTATCCTGTGTCATGAAATTCCCCAAACGCCTGTAGTATCTCATTTTTACAGAGTACCCAGCCTTTTTTTATAGAATTCAAAGGTGAAACCGTCCGGGCCAGGAGCCTTGGACCCATCACTCGACGCTATAGCTTCCCAGATTTCCTGCTCACTAAAGTTCCTGATCAAAGTGCTGCAGTCTTGCGAGGTTAATCTAGAGGGAAGGTAGCTACGTGGGAAGGGTCTATGGAAGGTACATTCTTGGAAGCGGATTCTGTAGTATTCAGCAATGCCCGAGCCCAACTCCTCCCTTCCTTCAACAAACACCCCGTTGATCTGAATCCGGTTGATGCTATTGATTTTCCTCCGATAGTTTGCAATCTTGTGAAAATATCTAGTATTCCTTTCTCCTTTAAGATTCCAAGTTTCCCTGGATTTCTGTTTCCAGGAAATCTCCTGAAGGTTGAGAGTATTCTTCAATTCTAATTTCAAACCCTCTCTCTCAAGGTAATCTGTTTCCTGCATATTCCTTCTTTCTTCCAAATCGTCGAGCCTTTTGATATTCGAAAGTAAATTATCAATGCGAGTCTTAAGATCCCCAAATACCTCTTTATTCCAGATTTTGATATTGCGCTTCAGAAAGGTAAGCCTTCTTGACCAAAGAAAAGCAGCACCTCTGCCAAAAACCGGAGCTTTAAACCATTCCGTAGCGCTTACCATGAATCTGTCATCTTGTAGCCACATATTTTCGAACCTCCAAGGTCGGCGAATCCTGTCCTGTCTACCCCAAGAGATTAGCAGCGGATTATGGTCAGATTCAATCCGTTCCAAAGCAGTAAGACAGCAATCCGCAAAAAGATTATCAAAATCAGCAGAAACAAACGCTCTATCAATGCGGGATAAAGAGGCATTCTCCCAACCATTGCTCCACGTGAATCGACTACCCCCCAGCGGTAGTTCAAGAATGGCCAATCTATCAATCATCTCATTAAATTCCAGCATCATATCAGAACTCCTTCTAGCACCACAGTAGTCCTCATGGCTTCTAATCATATTGAAATCACCCGCCACACAATAAGGAATTGAAGTCAGAGAGCAAAAATCTTCAAGCTCAGAGAGAAACCCCAGTTTGTCAGTCCTATCTTGCGGCCCATACACAACAATCAGCATCCAAACTTTGGCAGAGAGAACATCTTCGAACTTGGCACACAAGAAATGGGATCCAGTAAAGCTGGAGATCTCCTTGAAAAGAAGCTTATCCCAGTAGATTAGAATGCCTCCTGAACTACCATTCGCATCTTTTGCAATCCAACCAACATCTCTAGCGCCACTCACGCTGGTAACAAGTTCCAGATTACACCTGCTCCATTTCGTTTCAATAAGAGCCACAATCTGTGGATTCCTTCTTCTGACAATACCCTTGATGCGACTTCTTTTGGCCTGATCTCCCAAGCCTCTAACATTCCACACGAGCAATGAAGCACCCATTAAACAATAGAAGGGGCCTTACCCAAACCATTAGAAGCAGCTCTCCCCCTTCGCGAATTAGATGTTGAAGAAGTGCAAGGGCCGAGCCGATGTAATTCCATTTCCAGCTTAGACCGAGAAGGGCGAATCTTTCTGCTATGTGTGGATTTAGATACATCCGCAATCATCGATTCTGTTTTCTCGCCCTCTTCCGAGAATAGATCAAATACCCGGGCAAGTTCCAAACTTCTAGTTTCGAGGCTGCCCCTGTCAAAAGGAAAGGCATTCATATTCCACTCCCTATCGGGAATCAGGGTGCAGGAAGGGGAGGGCATTTCGGAACACAAGGCCGACTGATTAAGGGTCTGGGGGGAGAGGTCAAGGTCACAGAAATTCTGAGTATCAGACCGAGGTGGCGACTGAGGGGGGGAGGGGGAGGAGGAATCAAGGGGGTGCAGGGGACCATTTCCCAACTCGTGCATAGGGAGAGGGGAGGAGGGGAAGAAACTTGAGATTCGAAGGCGAGATATGAGAGAGATTGGCAGTTCTGAGAAGGTGAGTTATCATCTAAAGAGGGGAGGATGTTAGCAGGAAGGAAGAAGATCGGAAGATTAGAAAGGTGAGAAGGAACAGAGGTGTTGCCAAGATTGATAATGCAAAGCTGGTTCCCCAGGCCATTTTCGAACCGGATTGCACGGGAGAGAGGATTGGCCCACAGGATCTCCGCAATAAGATGCTGAAGCGAAGGGGATCGCTCTAGTGTTCGGTCCAAGGCCCAATTGAATTTCCCAATCCCACAAGGCCGAGCGCGATCAATAATCAAATTCTCTTCTGTCCTTCCTTGCCCTTTACTCAGAATGCAACTTCCAGACATATCCTGTTCCATATCTGGACTACCCGGCCCACTC